TCAAGCTGTTTCCTTTGATCGGACGGACAAACGTAGGACTGGATGCATATGGCCGCTATGTCTGCCAGGGAGTAGCCTCACGGGCGCGGACAAACTTCAACTCGGCCGCGCCTGCCCAGAGGAATGAGGGCTTCTTCTACGGCAACACCATCACAAAGCTGTTCGAGCACATTGCCCAAATTGTCGACGGTCATGAGCCACTAGTAGAGCGCCACTACGGACCAGGCATGATGCAGAAGGTCATTGAACGTTTGCAGATTGAGGCTGATGTCCAAGGTGGTATCGTGCTTGACACATGGCATGAGGAGCGCCACATTGACCGCAAACTTACCGATATCAAATCATATGCCTTTTCATTCCTTGTCCAGAGCTTTCTTCCCTCACAAAAACCTGCATCTGGAACACCTCGCTCTAGCTCGCCTGCCAACGGTGCTGGCCGGGCAAGTGAGGATGAAGGAGTGGACATGAAAGAGATTGACGGTTTGCTTGGAGAGGGCGCGCTGATGCTAGGACGCTATGCCTTGTATGCGCGTTTCCTCTCAGACAAGTGTGCAGTAAGTGCGGACACACGTGTATATTCTCATTAGCTTACCCTAGCAGCCCTCCGAACCTGAAGACCGCATCGACTATGGCCTCGTGATGCCCAACTTCCTTGCTACTAGTAACCTCCACAAGAAAGTCAACAGCCATCTCATCGAGCCTGTCAATGCCATGACAACCTTCTTCTTCCGTCGATCAGTTGAGAAGGCTTTCCAGCTGGACGAGGCCCCGGCAGATCTCACGCTTAATCCTACCAAGCCTCTTGGGTCTAACCCACCTTTCATAACCTCCGCCGTGGACGATGTCATGTACATTGTCAATCAGGTCATTCAGCGGACACTGGCAACTTCGCAACGTGCTGTCGTCTCTAGCGTCGTGCCTGCGGTCAGCCACATTCTAGGCGCTGAGTTCATCGGCATGATACAACGGAAGATGCGCGACGAAAGCTACCCCAAGCCTGTTATCCAGGGTGGTCTTCCTCCAGAGGACAAGGTCATCGCGTTCCTGGTGCTCATCAACAATCTCGATATCGCGAACGACTACGTCAAGCGCATAGTACAGCAGCAACTGGGCCGTCAATCACAAGGCGGCGAAGATGATGTGAAGTCGCCGTTGCACGACCTCTTTCCGTTCGGACATGACGCTGTATTCGTTGAGAACACACTGAAGGCAATGGAGAAAGCCTTTGCGTCCAAGAGCGGAGATCTTCTCAACGACGGCATCACCGTACTGTTTTCCAACGTCCTGAAGCCTCGCATTCGACCCATCCTGGCCGAAGCGTTCCGAGACGTCAAATACGATCCCGAGGATGGCGAGAATGAAGATGAAGAGGAGGAGGACGTCGATGTGGTCAAGTCGCGTTTCGACCGTGGTTGGGGAGTTGTGATTCGTCCCATCAAGCGCATCTTGACCTCAGCAAACTTCGACCGACTCCTCGCTCTGGGTCTAAACTCCCTTGCATCTTCACTCGAGAAGCGCATCAAGAGCTACTACGGTAGAGTGAACGAGTTGGGTGCTGTCAGACTCGAGCGCGACATCTCTGGCATCATCACTGCGGCTACGAGTGGCGGCGCCTACTCACTCCGCGATGTCTTCCAAAAGAGTACGCAGATGACGCTGATTCTCAACATGGAAGACGATGAGTTTGCAGAAGTGGCGGAAGATACATCAGGCGATTCGGGCATACCCTGGGTGTTGGACGTTGAAGAGAGGAAGCGAGTAAGAGCCATCGTCAAAGGCTGATCAGATGATGCCTGGAATCGTCCTTCCGGAGCGGGGTTCGTAGGGAGGAGCATTCTTGGCACGCAATCTATACAAATGAACCACTGCCATCCGCCTCGGTAGTGGATTGTTGTCCGCAAATGATTTTCTCTGTCTCCTCGTATCGCGACTGCTCGTGGCACCTTGTTAGTACCACGCTGCGATCCGTTGCAACCGAGTGACATGTGGCTCGTGCCGGCTTGGCTGAACTCTCTCACCTCTCACGGGGAACATCGCACACGATCAACTCCATCTTAATCCATCGGCGATATCCATTAATCGCTATTTCGTTTTCGCATCGAATCGTACCATACTCTTACGTTGCCAGGCGACTATCGGCCCGTCGCGCACGCCACGATGAGGCTGTCAACCGCAAAGATCCTGATCCCTTGCATCTCGCTTCTCCTGCCATCCCTGTCTTCGGCCCAATGTCCGCTCTACCAGAATTACGCTGCGCAATACCACGAACCCTTCACACAGGGGACTTGGAATTTGAGTTATGCCAGACCAATTGTGCCGTGTCGGACGTATCGGTCGGAAGAGGTGGAGAAGACGATTGAGCGGTTACGAGGTGTTATCAAGGATCCTGATCTTTTTCGCGTATGCAATGTCGCTGCTGCAGTGTTATCGAGATGATGTGTTGATTTCATGAACAGATTTTCGAGAATACATGGCCGAGTACCTTGGATACGACTATTGCATGGCGAGGATGGTCGAACACAACCAGCGACCCGGACTCTTTAGAAGGACCGTTGATGAGCATGAAGCCCGAAGAACTGACTTTTGTCATCACGGGCGACATCGAAGCAATGTGGCTGCGCGACTCTGCAAACCAGCTCCAAGCCTACATCTCGGTTTTGAATCACGATGACAGCCATGACAGTCTAGCCGGTCTATTCCGGGGAGCCATAAATCTACAAGCACGCTACATTCTCGAAAACGCGTTTTGCAACGCCTTCCAAGCACCGGACGAGAGCGGTGTTGAACATAAGAGCAGCATGAATAGCGACCGCATCACCCCGTCGTTCGACTACTATAAAGTCTTCTCCTGCCAATGGGAACTCGATTCCTTGGCATCCTTTCTGCAACTATCCGTCGACTACGTTACAGCTACAAAAGACTACGATTTCTTCGAGAAGAGCAGCAACTGGACCAAAGCCGTTGAACAAGTTTTGAACACGACAGAGAGCATGACGATAGATTCCTACACCGAGGACGGAGAATGGCAACACACGCCATACACATACTGCGCTCCCTACGGCGGGACCCCGATCAACAACTGCAACGGCAGTCCCCACAAAGGCAACATCGGCCTCGTCCGCTCATTCCACCGCCCCAGTGACGACGCATGCACATACCAATACCTCATCCCCTCCAACATGATGTTCTCATCCGCCCTCAACACCTCCTCAACAATAATGTCGCGCATCACATCCCGCGAGAACCCGCTAGCCGCACGCATGCAAACCCTCAGCACAGCGATAAACCGGGGCGTGGAGAAATACGGCATCGTCAACGATCCCAACTTCGGCAAGGTGTATGCGTATGAAGTTGATGGCTATGGGTCGGTGAATATCATGGATGATCCTAATGTGCCTTCGTTGTTGTCGGCGCCGTTTTTGGGGTACACGACACTACGCGATCCGATATATCAAAACACGCGACGGAAGATCTTATCGAGGGATAACCCGTATTACGCTGTCGGACCCGTAATCACCGGTGTAGCGAGTCCGCATACACTGCCCGGACGGCCGTGGCCCATGGCGCTTATCATGACTATCCTGACGAGTGAGGATGACGATGAGATCGTTAGGAATTTGATGTGGTTGGTGCAGAGTACGGATGGGCTGGGGCTCATGCATGAGAGTGTTCATGCTAGGGATAAGGGCGTGTGGAGTCGGCAGTGGTTTAGTTGGGCGAATGGCTTGTTTGGGCAGATGATACTGGATTTGGAGAGGAGGAAGCCGTGGGTTTTGGGTATGAGCTTTCAATAGCGGTTCTGGATGATACCCATCCTTGGATGCTTTGTTGGATGTGTTACAAGATGTATTTGCCTTTCAGCAGATGTTATTGAGCGACTAATTACTACGATATCTACATTGACGTTAAAATATTTGACCTTTGATAGAATAACGTATTGATATGTCTACATGAAGATTAGGAAGCTTAATCTTCGCTGTTACTGACCACTGAGATATCTACATAGGTAGGTGATGATTGCTATAGATCTTGTAAAAACGGAATGTAACCTGAAAAGCGATACTAAGAGCCCTGCGCACAAACTTCAGATCGGAGCTGCGCATGGTCTCATCAGTCCAACGAACCTTGCCAGCGACACATAGAAGACAGTCAGAGAAGCTCGATGGATGGAAACGGACGCATTACCTAGTCTCGCGCCTTTCCCATAGCCCCATGATACGGCGAAGCTACCGGAGCGACAAGCAGCAATCCAGGCAAGGAGCATGGCAGCCCCGTACTACTCGAGATTTGCAATACCGTAGTCTTGCTCCACGACAAATCAGAAGTTGAGAGCAAGCGCAGGATCGGAGAGGTTGTTCTCGGCGTATGACGCTGAACCAAGGTCGTACTTCTCAGCGACAAAATGAATATGAAGGCTGACTTCCTCGTGCCACTTCTGCCAGATGGTGTTGAAGTCCAGCAACAAGGTAGAAACCTACCAATACAGACCATGCTTGAGCTGCCACAGACTGCCAGCTTTGATCTTCTCACTTAGATTACCAGTGCTGAGATCAGCCATTGCACCGAGAAACTCCTTTGTGCGGGGGATGAGAGTCGCAGAGTTCCATATGTTTTCGGTCTCGGACGATTGGTCGGGGTAGACAGCCTCGAAACAAGGCGGCACAGGCGCGAGTGCGTTTTGCCCCTGATGAAGTTAGCATCTGAAGCTCACTAAGATAGCTGAAGCTGTGGAAGAGACATGTCCTTCAAGGGAGACTGACTGGTCGATGGAGCTGATGGGTCGAATCACTTGTAGACGTCCAACCTATCTATAATTTTTTAAGTCTCATGGGTAGAAACAAATGTATTCCTACACGCTATCTAGCCAATCCGCAGTTCCTCCCTGTAGCAGCCCTGTCAGATTCTTGGCTATCTTCAAAATCAAATTTTGGGCAAAATTGATGCCACCGCGTCGATCCACCTCACGCCGAGACCGTCGGGACAGCAAAAAGACAGCTGAATGATTCAAGCGAGGCTCGAACTCGCGACCTTTCGCGGACTACACAAGATGTGAGGCGAACGTGATAACCAACTACACCATCGAACCAACTTTGATGTCCAATTGGAAAAAAAGTTGCAATATATATTCCGAAATTGCGAAGGAGCGAGCTCGAAAGACGAAGGTGGGGCTGAGTGCGGGGCAAAGGAGCTGTCGTGGCATCGGTACGCATCTCCACTGAGAACTTCCACCAAATCAAGTTGGGCGTAAGTCGCTTGCTGACTTTCGCTGACACGATGCACCGTTTGTAACCGCATGGAGCTGGTGGTAAAGTCGTGTGCCCAACATGGCATCGGAGGTCTGACGAAGGGCGTTGCTTACTCCTACACCTATTAGTACAGCCTCTACTAAGGTCTCTCTTGCCGACAGCTTGTCTCGGTCTTCAACATTTCCTGGATCTGGTCCTCGCCCGTCATGTCTACTCTCAAAGAGCAGCTGCCATGGACATTGTCACCGCTCATCGTCAACGCGCCCATGGCGGGCTTCGCAGGCGGTAAGCTCGCGTCAGCTGTGACACTCGCTGGTGGCCTCGGTATGATCGGAAGTCTACGCAGCATGGACGACTTGCGGAAAGAGTTAGATGTCGCGACCGAAGCTTTCAGAACCAGTCCCGAAGTATCGGCGTCGCGTGTTCTCCCAGTTGGCGTCGGCTTCCTTCCCTTTGTGCTCAAACTCGAAGAGGTTCTTCCGGTGTTCGATGACTACAAGCCCGCGGTCATCTGGCTGTTCGTGCCGAAAGATCTGGACGATTACGCGGAATGGGTGCCGGCGATACGCAAAGCCTCACCGGAGAGCAAGATCTGGATTCAGCTTGGTAGCGTTGCGGCGGCTCTTCACGTTGCGAGGATCGCGCGTCCAGACGTGCTGTGTATCCAAGGCGCGGATGCCGGCGGTCACGGCTTCGAGAAGGGCGCAAGCATCGTCTCGCTACTGCCGGAGGTGACCGACGCGCTTGCTGCGGAAGGCTTTTCACACATACCTCTTGTTGCCTCAGGTGGTATCGTCGAAGGACGCGGCGTCGCTGCAGCACTCACCCTCGGTGCCGAAGGCGTCGTGATGGGAACGCGTTTCCTCGCGTCTAAAGAGGTGAACGTCCATCCGGTGTACCAAGCTGCAGTTCTGGAGGCGCAAGACGGTGGTCAGGTGACGACGCGTTCGAAGCTTTTTGATCAGCTGCGCGGTCCCAACATCTGGCCGGAGCTGTATGATGGGCGCGGGTTGGTGGCGCAGAGCCATAAGGACTTTGCCAACGGCATGAGCCTGGAACAGATACAAAAGCTGCACAACGAGGCCGTCGCAGGTCAAGACAAGGGATACAATACGGGTTTGCAAGGGCGTGCAGCAATCTGGGCTGGCACTGGTGTGGGGTTGGTGAAGGAAGTGCAAAGCGCGGGCGAGATTGTGCAGAAAGTGCGGGAAGATGCGAAAGACGTTATGATTGGAGTCGCAGCGAGACTGAAGTGAGTAACAATATTGTTTACGTTGCGTCACGCCAAGAAAGTGAAAGTGAACGCGACTGCTTACGGCAGGAAGGCGCAATCGTTGCGACGAGAAGCCATGACGTCACGTGTTTACTCGCAAACTTTCGGATCTTGAAAGCTCGGGAACGAATCCTTCGATTCGCTGCGTCGCAGGAGTGTCGGACCAGTTTTGCTTACTGGTTGTCGCGTCGGCTCCTTGATCAGCTGATGGATTCGTTTCTTCTCTTCTTGATTGCGGCGTCGCACCTCCCTACACGTAATAGATTAAGCACCCAACACCTGGCGTATCCTGTTCATCCAGCACCTCCGCTCACTTCAAAACTGACAAAGCTTTCTCATCCCTCTCCACCATGTCAACTTCTAAAGATGTCCCAACGTACGACAGCCTCCGCTCTTCTGGCGCCATCGTCTTGTCCTCTATGGACATGCTGCGAGTGCGCTTGTCGCTCTTTGGGTCTGTGGAGTCTTCAGTCGAAGTTGCGGACACCCTCGACCTAGACTCCAAATGTGAACCATACACCACCGACGGTCATTCCTTTCACAAGATCTCCACCTCGCCCGCAACGGAACCACCGGTCTCGTCAATCAGCGTACACATAGACGAGCTGGACACATGGGGATACAGATGGGAAGGAGAGCATCGAGACGATAACTGGGAAAATCAAGAGTGGACCGGAGACTCAGACGATGAAGATCGGGAGCTTTTGCGCTGCTGCGGCATGGCTTGCCCACCCCCTCCGCCGTCCCTCGAGGTGCTGCATACTACACATCCCTTCGTTACCGTACACGACTACATCAATCAAGTCCACGCTTGGCTTCAAACTCTGAAACCAAGTATCTTGGCAGCTACGGACGAGTCAAGCTCTTCATCAACAAGACTTTACAGTAACTTTTGTGATCCTGAGGCTCTTAATGTTCGAGAAAGACATACGGGCGGGAGGACTGTGGGAATCAGTTGAGCGACATGTACGACGACACAGAGGCGGCACGATGCTTTCTTAAACACGTCAGTATAACACATCTTTTGCGTGGAGACGCGACGGTGGCATCGTAAGGTGAGGCAGACATTAGACCCATTAGATCATGTATCTGATCGCAGGGTCGAAGATCGAGGTTCCTACAAAGTGTAACGCTTGATCTTTCGCTCCGCTAACGCCTTTCGATGATGTTTGTCAAATCAGTTTGATCAGCTGTTTCTCGCGTCGACCCATCTCCTCAATGAATCGGTCATACCATTCATGGGGTGTCAGATTCAATCTCGCCATCATCTGGTTCAGTACCATCTGCCTGAACCTCCATGCTCTTGGTTGTTTTATACATTGTCCTCGTATCCAAGATTCGCGAAGGGGACCTTGCTCGGGGAGTTCCAATTTCAAACAGATGGCACCCACTCCTGCTCTTTTGTATACACCTGGACCCACTTCCCTCACCATCAGCGCGTTGTGCTGCATCTGAATTTGAGAGCCTGATTTGCGTGCAAGCAGAGGTATGGCAAGCACCTCAGAATGCTCTTCGAAATACTCAACCTCATCATCCCATTCGAACAAGCACAACGCTGGTACTTGGTCTGAAGCGTCTTGTACACACTCCCAAAGGTGTGCGTGAAAACCATTGCGTGCCTTTATGATGGGTGTCTGGAGTACGAGTGCAGCTTCCACAACGTCGCCAAGAACTAGCGGACCCCGCGTGTGATAAATGATCTGGACGACTTGAGTGCAAGTGCTGTACTGCCAAATGTCCAGATTCCACCTTTCCCATTCGACGGTGCATTTTGATGACGACCATGACCAGCTTGGAATGACTCCTGGTTCAACTTGATGGGTTGTACCGCCTGATTTACGATGCCATAGAAGATCGAAAAGCAGGGTGTCTTCCCACAGGCCGGCTATGTATCGGTTGCCGATAGAATTTGCTCTGATTCGGCTGGCAAAGGCAGCAATTGCAGGTAGTTTATCTTTCGCAAATGTGAGGGTTCGCCAAGAATAGCCTTCTACAATCTCATACCATAGATCTTGTAAGGAGCTTCGAGATGCAGAGGGACACACCAAAACGGATCGTGGTAGGTTGACGCTACCTTCTGGCTCACCCTCACAGACTGTTCTTTCTCGACAAGACCAACTCACTTCCTTGGGACCGAAGTGAAGCACTCGGGGTGACAGACTGAGTTCTTGGAAGGTCCATCCGCGCTTGTACAACGGCCATCCATCATCTGTCCTGTGATGTAAGTCAGTTTCCCGACTACCAGGCACATCGAACTTTTGTCGCACGTATAGCCAAGGATATGCAGGCAGAAGAGAGCCCATACGAAGGGTTGGGGTTGATTTGAAGAGCCCCTCAGAAGCGTTTCGTGCCCCGACCGCTGCAATAGTCACATGTGCGTTCTCATAGACATCTGCCATGCGAGAAGCCTGTTCACGCCAGTCATCTTCATCGTCTTGCACGATACAAAGGCTATCGATCCAAATGCTGTCAATTCCAAGCTCTTTGCAGACTGATAGGGCATCCTGATACGTCTTTGGGAGATTCTCTATCAGTATGCCCGTTTTGATGTGTTCACTGCGGTTTTGACCACTGGTCCTGGTGAGGGTTTTCCCGTTCCCCCAACAGTGACTCAAGCAGGCATATCGCTTGGGTGGCGCATCTTCGTTGAGAGTGATGTTTTTGTCGCCAATGAGCAGAAATCTAATGCCTTCCAGTGTCTTACTCGTTTGTGCACTGTCTACCGAGCACTTGGGATGATCTGAAACACACTCGCTCATCCAGGCCTTAGTAGTATCGAAAGTTGCGTTTGATGAAGTTTTTCCGGGAAGCAGAGCCATGGGCCTTCTGTCGAAAGCCGTAACTACTCGAGAGTCGTCTACGAATATAGTCAGACCCCACAACAGTCTCACAATAGAAATTATCGAAGCGAGCACATACACACGAGAGTAGAGATGACAATACGTACCAGAGCTTCTTACTAAGCACTCAAAGAACATCCAGAAACTAGGCAACGACCCGAGTTCACCATCACCTACGTGATATACATCAAGTTCGCCATTTTTTCTGAAGTTCACGTGTGCGGGTCGTATCTGCGTTGTGGTATCAATCCATTCGAAAAAGGCTTTTGCCAAATGAAACCACAGACAGTCATCTCTTGAGCCTTCGTAACTCCAGTTTTGTATAGGATAACTACAAATGTTATGCTCCTCGAAATCGGCGCAGTATCCGCAACTATGGGCGACCAGATCCGAGTGAGAGAACATGAGGAATGGATATTTATCGGATGTCGAATACTATTCAGTCCTTCTGGAGCGTGCATTCCGTGGCAAAGAAGAAAAAGCAGGTGAACCTTGGAATGTACAGCGAAGACAGTAAAGAGGCTGTGGCTAATATACGCTAGCGCGGGCTTGTGGCAATCCGTATGACCCGGAGAACAGCCTAAAATCTGCGTCTAGCAATCTCATCGATGCTTAGAGAGGTGCGCAAGAATCAAAGAAGTTGTAGAGGTCTTCGATTGTACAGCTGCCTAGGTACATACACTGAACACTCAGGGTCATTTTGCAAGGACGCTCAGGTAGAAGATCGATGTATTGAAAGAAAAAAAAGGCCATCATCAACGGCATCTATTCGATGGATCAGATAGGGCTACGACTAGAACAACGATCCAATCAAACAAAAGCCCACTACACCCATCAACCAGCCCAACATACCCCTCACCTCGGGTGCATGCCTTGCCGCAGCACCGGTAAACTCCAGTGGAGCCGTCTGCTGTACGGGCGCAGCGCTGGCGTTACTCGGAACCAAAAAGCCAGCCGCCATAGTGACTACCGGTGCCGGCGGCGGAAGGTTCTCTGTCGCGACAGCCGGTGCGGATGCGACTGGTGTTGTTGAAGCGACGGAGGAAGAAATTACGAGAGATGTTTCGAATGCGCTCGACAAGGCTGAAGAGGCGGGGCTTGCTGAACTCGATATGTTGAAAGTGGGAATGAACGATGAAGATGGCAACGAAGATGAAGCTTGCGTCGCGGATTCAACCGTTGATTCCATCGACGAAGCGGGGACGACAGCCGAAGATTGGTTGGCTGTGCTTGAAGCCACAGATGTTGCGTTGCTTGTCGCAGCCTCCGATGTGAGGGCAGCAGAGCTCGCAGCCTCAGCAGCTGACGACGCGCTCGCGGAAGCAGTCACTGTGATTTCTGCTGTTACCTTGGAAGTAACGTAAGCTGTGCTTGTGGCCTCCACAGTCGAAGTGCTCTCGGCTAATGTTGTCGTATCGTTGAGCGACGATGTTGCTGACGGGGTGTACTCAATAGCCGGGGCTGTCGTAGTAGCAGCGGATGAAGTCGTGGAGACAACATAGCTGATCAGAGTCGAAGTGGAGTTTAGCAGAGAAGTAGTACAAGGCGTAGAAACGACCTCACTCGCCATAGTCGAAGTAGTGTTCAACAGCGACGTCGCATACGCGGTGCTGCTTGCCACAGCGGAGGTACTGTTCAAAACAGCAGTCGTAGACACTATACTACTCATCGCAGTGGAAGTAGTATTCAAGAGCAAAGTCGTAGACATGGCGCTACTCATTGGTGTTGACGTAGCAATCGACTCTGCGGAGGACGAGACCACGTCGCTGGCGAATATGAAGGTGACGTTTGGCATCAAAGTGGGAGCCGCAGCCATCTCACTAGCAATACTCGCTGTAGTCTTCGCTGTAGTGTCTGCAATTGGCGTTCCAGATACGGTCGCGCTGAACAAAGATGTCATGTTAGCTTCTAGCTTCGGCGCCGCGGTCATGTTGGCTTCCAGCTTCGGGGGCGCGGATGTAGCTTCAACCATCATCGGCGGAGGCGGAGGCACGATAACCCCTGTAACGTTGTCGAAAGCATTCTCGGGCGCTGCGCAGCCGGAGAGCAGAGGGAAGACGGCTGTGAAAATGTTCTCCTGGACACCAACTGCGTTGAAAGGTGGTGGAAGGATTGGTATCGAAACATCCAGAGCGATATCGATCGAAAGGGAAACATTGGCTTCGACCAAAGCAAGAGGGCCAAGACTGAGAAGTTCGGGTGGGAAGTCCGCTGTCTGGTTGGCGAATGGCGCACCCGGTTGCGTAGCATTGCTGCTGTTGCCGGCACCACAGTTCTTCGGAATGTTGCTCGACAGCTTCGCGTCCAGACGGGGTAAGTTCAAAGATGGGGTGACTTCAGCTTTCAGCTGATCCAGAAAGTCGAAACCAATCGGTATGGCAGGGACGAACGCGAGACCAAGCAAGATCTCTGCGTCAGTTATGTTAACGTTGACGGGCAGCGGAGTGAGACTCGTTTCCTGGAAGCCAGTAACGCGGCTGCTGGCGAGATCAGCAAGCTCCACTCGGATACTGGAACCATCAGGGACCTGAGAGCGTTAGTACTTTCATGATGATCATGTGGGAGAACACGTACTGTAAGCTGGAGTCCGTAGTTGACTTCAAGTGTACCACTGATCTCAAAGTCGAAGGCGAGCCTCGGCTCAAAGATAGCTCCAGCCTTGCCAATACCGGGAATTGTAAAACCGGCAATAGGAAGTTGGAATAAGGCGATCTCAAACTTCCCAGAGCTGGGCGGTCTAGCGAACAAGTCCAATGTTGCACCAACACCAGTCGCGACAAGCTCTACGAAACCACCACTGATGACGTGCGAAATCTCCTTGCCGTCGTCACCGCCTTCGAAGATGTCCGGAATGAGGTCGATTTGGGAAAGATCGATGTTGAAGGCACCCTGTGAAAGGGCGATCTGCCCACTTGTCGCGCATCGCTTGCATCCAATCTCGATCGGCAACGGCACATCAGGTGCTCCAACAAGGCCAGCAATACCCGATAGGAATGCTTCGACCGGAAAAGTGGTGTTAAGAAGCTCGGATGATAGGTCAAAGGAGACAGTGTTAACATCGTCGGGAGTGTCCGCCGGTATGTCGACCTTATTCTGTCGCTTGTTTCGGATTCTCGCGAAGTCGGAATGGCGTCGGTAAATATGATCGTCTGTCGTGTGGCCGAAAGAAATGTCGACATGATCAAACGCTGCTCGCCATGTTGTCTTTGAGACGGACAGCTCAAGGGCTTCACCGTCTTGAGCGAACGACACGTCATTGACCCTTTGATCGTCAGATGAAATCACCGAAACGCCCGTGAGAGCTTACCGATATACCGATCGCTCGCCCTCATCATTACAGCCCTCGTGGGACGTGATGATCAAACCACCATCCGCGTCATGACAGGCCGCTCGGGCGTCTCGTGCTGAAGAAGTATCCACAAAGTGTAGCTTCATCGTGTCATCCCCACATTGCACATCTTTGATGTGATGTTCATGCTCTTCCAAGTTGAGTAGTGGTCTCTGCCCGCTGACTTTGACCTGCGAAGCAAATGTCGACTCGTCATTCCAGACGTTCTCATCTAGCGAATCGTCAGTAGTGGTAAGTCTTCATGATCGCTTTAACATACTGTCCACATAGGCCAACTCAGACTCGAATCTCTTGGTGATCCTCACGCCTCTCCGATAGAGGTCTGTTCGTTTTGTAGCTGCTCGCAGCAGCCGATGCGTCTCAAGGTCACCACCCAAGATCGCAGCAACATCCGCGCTAAAGTATGCGATTAAGAGAACGGCAAACGCGCCGCGGAGGCTGGAAAAATGCATGTCGCGCGTGTATCAATCGAAGAAGATGAGGTGAAGAAACGTTCGTGCTCTTGTGAGGGCCAAGCAGCGTACGAACGACAACCCGATTATTAAAAGGTGTAAAGAAAACGAGCGAATGTAAAGAGCGTGTACCTCACTTCGAAGAGTAATCTCGCCAGCGAGTGTAGACGACAAAGATATATAGAAGACCCACGAAGAGAATCCACACACCACCACGAGAGGAAACGGAAGATACCTACCCCTACGAAGATCGGACGAGAACCAAGCCTAATAGAAAGCCCGACTCATTGCAAACCCCAGCACAGCCAAGCCAACAGGCTGTGGAGATCATACACTGCACGGTACCTGCATTTTTTGGCACTGCACAGGTTGTCTTCCGCAGAGAGGGCTGCACCACGCGTGGTAAGGCCCAAGATCCTCGGCCCGTGGTTCGCGTCGCATGTTCACGCGTGTGGTCTAGTCCATCGCGACCGTGGCGTGAATGGCATGCGCTACAGCTGTCATAGGTCCATCAGTTCATAAGACAGCGGAGTAATGGTACGGGGGTGGGTTCTCAAACGGGAATTGTGTGAGAAAGGGTTCTGTTTGCCTCAGGTTCTTGTCCAAGCGAGTGGGGCGGCCTAGTGTCGCTAGCGCAGCACTATTCTGCTTTTCATCTCTTGCTGCGACAACCCCTGAGGCTTTTCTATCGGTATCTTCAATTGCAGGACTTTCGGAACTTTCGGCAGGTAAAAGGGCCTTTGGTGTATTGGTAAGGGCTTCAGATATGTGAAGTTATGCCGAACGGTGTATTGGATGCTTTCAGAAAAGTAAAGTGTATAGCACGAAGGAGCTCGTCGACGTGGGATTTGACTCTTCTTCATGAGTAGCGCACGATAAATCCACTGAAGGGTTAAATGCTGTGTACCATAAGCCCGAAAAAGCCCCAAAGGTGCCCAGGTGGTGGCGCAGGCTCTAGGCGGCAGCCTTGGCCTTTGCCGCATCTTGAGAACGCTGACATGTGTAGCACAGTCCACGATACCATCAATTACCCTTTCGTGGTTTCCACTCGGCCCACAGAATGCCGCCGTCGGAAAGCCCGTATGTCGATGTTCCGCTCAATCTCGGGAGGAAGAACATCAGGCTGGTGACCCTGCAGCCCGGCGACGCGTCGGAATCCATCAAATGCGATCTGCAGAGCCACGCGCTGGATGACGAGTGTCCAGCGTACGTCGCTCTTTCGTATGCATGGGGTGCCAAAGAGCGATATGACGATATTCATATCAATGGCATGTCTTTCACAGTCGGTCGCAATCTGTGGCACTTCCTCCACCAAATGCGCGTGCAGCGTCAGGATGCCCTCTTCTGGATAGACGCTATCAGCATCGATCAAGCGAATGTACTCGAGCAGAATCACCAAGTACAGATGATGAGGGAGATCTACACACAAGCTTGTTCCGTGTGGATCTGGCTTGGCGAAGCAGATGATGCCACAATGAGCGATGTCGCGATGCAGTACTTGAAAACGCGGGTGGCTTTGGATGGCAACGACGTCAACCCAAAGAAGTTATGGAACGCACGCAAAGCGAAAGCTATATTGGGGCTGTGTGAAAAGGAATACTGGAAAAGGATCTGGATTGTGCAAGAAGTTTTACTGGCAAGAGAGGCAAAAGTTCTATGTGGAGGCCACTGCGTGCAGTGGATCAAACTACAGCAACTATTGGCCGACCTCCAAGCCATCTCGGACAGAGGGAGAGCTCTTCATGTCGTCGGCGTACCGGCTGTTCTCGATAGTCCCGCCGCAGTAATAAGCAGGGCGAAAGCTCAATGGAACGGCGATCCTCAACCCCTCACATTGCTGCTTGAGCAATATCACAGACAGCATTCGACTGATGTCAGAGACAAGATCTACGCTTTACATGGACTAGCAAGTGATAGTAGTATCATACCCATCGACTACCGGATCGACCCGAAAGAACTCTTCGTGCAGATTGTCCAGCATGCATGCTCGTCACTAGCATTCGGAACGGACATGAAGAAATTGAGGAGGGACCTGTTTGGATTTGCAAATTTGATGCGCGGATCTCTTAAGGTCTTCTGTGATGAGGAAGAGCTGAGCGATCACATCTCAGTGGCTCAGTGGAAAAGCAGTCACTTGTGCCAGCGACACTTGTACTACGACCGGGCCTCCAAATCATCAGCTGCGCAAGCGCTAAGAACAGAGGGCCCATATGCTGCGCCGCAATCTCTGCCGCAATTCATTGTCAACGATACAGGCGAGAGGACTTGCGCAAGGTGCATAGGAAATCGAAGGAGAGCTAGCCAGGAGCGAAGAGACATCGAGCGGGGATGTTTGCAGTACAGATTGAAAGAGCTCCGTGACAAGCAGACGCACGGAGACCTTGAACTCGAGTGCATCATTGACGGCTGCTACGACCGCTTCGACCACTACAAACAAGTGCGGCATCATGTCCGACACTTTCATCGAAACAAATTGTGGTCACCGGATAACCAGCTTCGACAGCCATGATAGCAAAGATTAGACGCCTGCCTTTTCGATCTACGGGTACCCGAACAATGATAAATTTGGCCAATGACGTGTTGGGCGAAAGTGTGTGCGTTTTCACTTGGAGCTCGAATTTAATGTTATCGTATATGATCTCAAGGCAATAGTCTTACGTGAGACGCTTGTGTATCCTTGCGTAAAGATTGAAGTCGCTATATGTATACTAGTCTAACACCCCTCTCACGAAGCAGCACCAATCCCCTCACCTACCGGACAATTCGGAACATTCTCCTGCCAAGTAACCTTCGCATACGCCGGCAAATAGCTATTAGTAGTAAAGCTCTCATCAATATAATACTCCACCTGGCCGAGCGAAAAGTCACCACCAACATCCGGCTGGTTCAAAGCGTCGACGATGTAACTAGCAATGAAATCCAAGAACACCAGATCAACAGTCTTTGGCATCGATCCATCGAGCGGGAAAGAAGCGTTCGCCTGGAGATCATTGGGCTGGGAGAAGTTGGGGATGGCCGAGTGTACGGTATCGTCTCCGTCGGTGCCGAAGTCGTCTTTGGTCGTGTAGCCTGGGTTGGGGGCGGTAGATTGACGGCGGATGAGACGGCCGCCTTGCTTTGAGCGGCGGGTAACTCCTTCGTAGTGGTGTGTGATGGGCGGGTCGAGGCACGTGTCTCTGTCTGCGAGGATGGGACTGAAGCCGAAGTCGGAAGTCTCAAGATCCCGCTTCTTCTTCTGGAAGGGCCCAGCGTTCAGGATGCCGAGTACTTGAGAGGCTTGCTCGTAGGGTACGTCGGGGATGAATTGGAAGGCGTCTTTGAATGGGGAGACGATGAATGAGTCGTCGTAGGTGAAGGGGCCTTTGGCGAGATCGAAGCGGACTGATCCGGTGTTTATGATGATGAGTCTTGGGATGTCCTTGCGCGTCTCGTTTACGACGACAGTGGCCAAAGCGGTTTGAAGGAGTCCGAAGATGTTGCCTTCAGCTAGGAATGGCTTGCAGTACTGACAGTATGTCGCTGGCGCGCAACCATACAAATCGGTCAAGTTGAGCTTCGCGCGCTCGGAAGTGATCTCGTTAGTGACGCTGATACCGGCAGATGTGTCGAACGCGGTGTAGCGTTGACTTCCCTTAGCATGGTAAGCAAAGGTATTGCGGTTCCAATCGAGGTATCTTCGGGCGTAGCGGAGGGTGGAGTTGGAAGTAGATGTAGGCAAATGTGCACTAGCAGATGCAGTCCAAGTGCTCGACGGTACTACCGCGCTGCGTGTCGGATTCGGTACACCCTTGGGATTATGCGGCGCTTTGCAAGTCTTTGATTCGATGCCCGAAATGGCAACCCAGCCCAATGTCTCGCAGTAACGGCCTGAGACCATGTTAGCCAGTTGTTCCAAAGCTCGTCCAAAGTACATACCAGACTCAATTCCTGTAGCTTTGTCGTCGTACACGGCAAAATCTCGAATGTGAGTATGTCCGCCAAAAGCTTGAATAGGTACGTCTGGCTTCATGCTGCGGATGGCCTTGAAGACAGTGCCCATTGTGCTGGTAGAAGCGCTGGTCCTCACGGGATTGTGACCCGTGATGACGAACAGATCGATGGGCTCGGTATAGTTAATAGCCTGTTGGAACCACGGCTGCTTCACCATGTCGGCCGCTTTGATAACCTTGGAGACGTTGCTGTTGCCAGTGAAGTCGAAGAGGACGCCAAAAGCCATGATGCGGAGCCCTAGGCCTATCAGCATATTGTCAATTCCATGATTGATCAACTTACCCTGCTCTGTGGTGAAGTAACGGTAACGAGACCCAATATATTCGAACTGGCCAGTGGCGGGGTTCTTGATCTGCACATTGCTAGTGAGATACTTGTCGCCGTAGACCTTGGAAAAGTTGTTGAAGGTCTCATAGGCAATTTCGGTAACGTAAAGCTCGTGGTTTCCGATGGTCAACAAGTCGTAATCGATGTTTTCAAAAATGGCATTCGAGACGTTGCCATTGGGGGTCGTCGCGTCGCTAAGTCCAGCACCGTCATGTAAGTCCTATCGCGCGTTAGTCGAGTTGCTACTTTCATCAACTTCGTGCGCAGCCCTACTCGTCCCCAGGGCTTTATGGCAGACACTAACCCCTGTGTCTACCAGAAGCAGATCGACACCCAGATCCCGAGCCTTCTGCTTCATGTGCTTGGTGAAGCTGGCGTAATCACCCCAATCAGCCCCATAGTTCTGTTCCTTGATGTGACCTTCCAGCCATCCGTGTGTATCGGTGGTATGCAAAAAGTTGATTTGACCCCATTCTAGCGGCGCCTTGGGTGTAGTGGTCGCATTCTGCGCGTCAGGTTGCATGCGACGAACATTTCTGGTCAACACGACATCATCTTTTAACGGCCCGTAGCAGCTGTTGTGGCCTTCGCAGGCTAGCGCCGGTGCCACTATCGAGAGGAAAGCGCCAAAGGCAAAGGACCGCATCGTGAAAACAGGGTGAACGACAGCGCGCGAGCATCAGCTTACAGGGCGTCATCTTCTTATGTAGCCTCATGGCAGGTACGCGTACGTGCATCGCCGCCTCGGCTGTCTTACCCATGCCGCCGAAAAAAGATGCCCCTAGGGGCGGAAGCGGCAAAACCGCACGTGTAACGTTCATTGGAGAGAAAGATAAGCTTCGGCATGGTCGTGGACAAGCCATGCCAGAAAGCTTGATCGAAGCTTGCTCCTTCCTGTTGGGCGACAAGCGCAATTTTAGCGTTCCGAGGACCGGGGGCGTGGCATCGCACCTCTCCGATAGTTCTTCCCAGCCATCTCCCGTATCTCTACGCTATCATTCGCCAATTCGCTTTCAACATACCGTTCGGAACCTTGGAAGGCGGCTCGGAGCGCAGTGGTCTTGATGCCTCTCAATCGCGACAATCACTCAACTCGATCAATGCGCAGTACGTCACTATTCCTGGCATCTCGCTGGAACCCAAGAGACCTCCCTTTCTAAAGGACGAGTTCATCCCAAATTTTGTGTTTGTCCATCTTTTCCAAAACTGGCTTCTCATCACCTTACGAAACTCATCAACGGATGACATAGCTCTGAACTCCACTAGTATCGCAGCGTACCGCTTCCATGACTTATCCCTAAGCTCTTTTGTTAACTATACTTCTCTTTTTAAGAGGACCTGATTGGATAGGTACATATAGATTTCGAAAGTCGTGAGTCGCTCGTCTACGTGGCGTCACCGCAGTACCATGGGACAAAATAGAAGAACTAAAGTATAGCATCGCACTCTGAGTCAGAAGAGGGCTGACTTATCCCCAAGCTCCAACCCTAACTCAGGCTTCGTCTTGTAGCGAGATCATTCCCGCGGCGGGATGAAGAGCCTAGTACACGGCCTTTCACGCCCCCCTCAGTTCTGGAAAGGCATCGTTGACGCTAAACAATGATCAGCTATGTGAAAGTACACAGCAGCACTGCATCGACTACAAAGCAAGGTACCTCCTGTGCTATTTCACGCTTCAACCCCAACTTCTCGTTACAATTCCCAATATAGCGGCTACATCAACTTCGCAGTCATGCCCAACCCACGGTGTGCCACTTGCGGGACAGTCGCCGTCCGTCCGGATCCAGAACAGCCTCACCTCAACGCCAGGTGGTACAAGAACCAGCTATTAGCTGACATCACCATCAAATACGGCGATCACGGTGAAAAGGAGTTCGTCGGTCATCGTCTCGTCCTTTGCTCAGTGAGCGAGTGGTTCAAGAAGGCATCCAAAAACTTCAAGGAAGCCAACGATCAGGCGATAGTTCTTAAAGGCGACCATCCGGAAGGCCTAGAGGCTCTATTCGATTACGCGTACAAAGAGGAATATCTCGAGACAGTCGATATTCCGGATGAGTTGACGGAGCTACGACAGCGGTTCATGCATCGTCTGCGTGTTTTCGCAGTAGCCGACAAGTATCAAGTAGAAGGCCTAACAGCTCTAGCCTATCGCCAACTCAAGCAGCTCGTGGATCTTTTTACAGAGCCAAGACGGACCTACGGTGACGAGGATGAAACGACGGCACCTGAGTTCTTCCGGTTCATGGTGAGGCAAGTGTACGAGCAAAGCGAACGCTACTTTCCAGCTCTGCGCGACGACCTACACCAAGCCGATCAGACGGCGGAAGGCACTTCGCAGACAAACCCGTCTGAGACTGAGCCAACCAACTCCATGTCTACTGAGAACGCTCCTGTAAGCGCTACATCTCAGCGGCACAACTCCGCGCGGAAGACAACATCCAATCCACCGAACCCGCATTCAACCGAAGGTAGAAGTTCAAACCACCCTCTCGACCGCGTCCAGGATCTTCTCGTGGAAGGGGCCATGAACGCCTGGGTCAATGCGCATCCGGACTTCAATCGTCAGCATCTTGTGCCTCTTGCGCAAATGTTCCCGGATTTCGGCACGGATCTCATTGTTGCAGCGCTGAAGTCGTCGCGCATAGAAGGCATGCCTGAGTATCTATATGAAGACGAGGATTATGCTTATGACAGTGATAATGACTGGTTGAGGGCCCACCACGTCTTGTGAAATCTGGCTAACTTGCAATGGAGATGGAGACGGGTATGTAGGCGCGTAGCGTAATGACGCAATACATGTACTGTTGAAATGTATATGAATTCGCGATACTGTTCTTGTGATGCGACACATTTTTGTCAGATTTTGTGCATCTAATGCGCTGCGATGACAGTAACGCGCGTGTCGAAAGTGATGGAGTGGAAGTGAAGTTGGTCGAACCTTCTCGATGACGAGCTGGTCCGAACGCGACATGCCACTTGAGCCCCGCAGTGCTACGGACAAGGTGCAGCCTCGAAGCACAACACAAACACTCGCCGTAGCACACGACTCAGACCTCGGCCACGATGGTAATCAACTACAGCAAGTGGGTGAGTCATGCGCTTCTGCACATGTCATGGTAGCAGCTTCTAACATTCTATTAGGACGCCCTAGAGCTCTCGGACGACAGCGACATCGAAGTGCACCCCAATGTC